TGGCTTTCAGCAGGAGAGAAGGAGGGCTCTAACCCTGGGTCCTGTCACTAGGGCCCAAAGCAAAGGGCTGTCGCTAACCGGCAGGCCCAGAAGCTTCATTGGCAGTAAGTGGCGGCAGCCAGTGGGCACTGTGGAGCTGCCCCTGAGCCAGCCGCAGTGACCACTTCCGGGACCCCATGAGGGGCGCTGGAGTGGGTGTATGCTCAGCTGGGGATGGCAGTGCCAGTATTTTAGTAATGATTCACTCTATGCCAAGCACTGGGCTAAGCTCCATACAACAACCCTGTGAGGTGGGTCCCCTGTCATCCCTGTTCCAGGGTGAGGAACAGAAGCTCTGAAGAGCTCCAGGGCTCACGGCTGGATTCAAACCCAGGGCTGCAGACTCCAGACCCTGCTGACTGCATCCAGGAAGGGCTCCTGGGAGAGGAGTGTTCCCCAGAGGTGGAGGGGTAGAGAGGAGGGGAGAGGAGGACGGGAGGCCTTCAGAGCCTGTGTAGGGAAGAGCTGGCCAGAGGAAAGGGAAGCCTGCCTCTCTGATGCAAGGTGTCCTGAGATGAAGTGACTGGGGACGAGGGTGGGGACGAGGGTGGGGACTGTGAGGCTAGGCTAGAAGGCAGACAAAGATCTAGGGCATCGTCCTCAGATTCCACCGAAGCTTCAGAATTACATTTCTGACAGGTCTTGGCTTACAAAACCCTCCAGAGCCCCATCTAGGCTGTTGTCAGCCCAGGGGTGGGCACCCCCGGGGGCTCTCCAGGGCCATCCCATTCACCTCCCTGAGAGGAAGGTTCAGAGCCAGCCCTGGAGGGGCAGAGAGAGGGAGGGAGCAGCTGGGGGATCAGAGGTGCTGGGTGTAGCCTGGGGCTGCAAGGGGAGGAGGGGAGAGTCCTGGCTCCCAGGGGCAGAAAGACAAGACTCTAAGTGTGTCATGTCCTCTGAGCCCAACCCTAAGACACCAGGGCCACTCTCTCCACCGTACAAGGTTTCAGCCTCACTGAAAACCTTTCTGTAACCCCGAGCAAGTTACTGCCACACCTTTCTGGGTCTTGGTTCCCTCTTCCGTAAAATGGGGAGAGGGGCTGGAGTCAACCCTCTAGCTCTCTCCCAGGAGGAACCTGAACGACTCTAGCTGTGAGACCAGTGATGGCTAAGAGTGTATCTTCCCCCATCCCCTTTCTTCCCCCTCCATCTCCAGCCTCAGGACGTACCTGCTGAACCAACACGGGATAGGTGGACCAGAAGGCCCTGGAAGGCAGTTCCAACATCCAGAAGGGCCCAGGACCCCTCAGACATATGCAGGTCAGGGCTGAAGGACCTTTGGGGGTCATCAGGGATAGCCTGCCCTTTTTACAGGTGGGTAGACTGAGGCCCAGGGAAGACAAGCAGACTAGGGTGGAAGCCCAGCTACCTAGCTCCTGGCCCCGAAAGAAAGGCCGGCTCCCATTCTGCTGCTGGCCTCATGGTCTCCTGCCCTCTGCTCTGGTGACTGGCTTCCCAGGAGGGTAGCCTCCGCTTCTCCCTGCCCTCTGCTCTCCCCAGAGCCCTGGCTCTGATGCTCTGGCTATGATCCGGGGCCCTGCTTGGACCCAGGAGGCTGCAGCCCCACTCGGACAGCAGAAGCAGAACGGGGGTTTTGTCTTCCACGAGAGCCCGTCTGTTGGCAGCGGGGGTGGGCTCCATTGGCACAGTGAAGCCTTGTTTCCTTGAATACACAGTCTGCAGCTTTCCACCCTCTCCCCGGCCCTGGCGGGCGGCACTTCCTTCCTAGAGGTCCAGCTTCCTGGCCCCTGCCTGTCCATCCCATCAGCCCTCCCCAAACGCTGGCAAGTGGTGCCGGTGCCAAGAGGTGGCTTGGAGGGGTCCGGCTCCCCTCAGTCTCCCTCACAGCACCTCTCATCAAACTAGCACCAGAAACAGCCTGTTTAAGAAAAAGTGAGTTTGCTGTGCAAAGAAGCTTCCAGAGTGTGCCCTCAGCCGCATGCCACTTCCAAACTGCAGCCTCCCAAGTCCCACTCATTTGCAGTGTCTGGGTTCTCCCAGCACAGCTCCATCTTTGTTTGGGTGGCCAGTGAGCAGCGAGGCTGTGGAAGCCCAGGAGGAGGCAGGCTCTGGGGGAAAGGAGAGACTGAGGCTGGGGGTCTAGGGGTGGGGACATGAGCGGAAAATCCGACACACACATGGAAGCAGGTGTTGGAGAAGGTTTTCCAACGTGAAAGCAGATGTCTGTGATAGGAAACCCAGGAGGGGAAGAACCTGGGTCTTGGAATCACAGACCTGGGTTTGAATCCTGACTCTAACGTTTTCTAGCTGGGTGGTCCTGGCAAGTTATTTAAGAGTCCTTGTCTGCACAAAGGTGAGGAAGAGCTCTGAGTCCCGGGGCTGTTTGAAGGACCTGGTGAGCCCCTCAGCATTATCAACACGGGGATCTCTGTGGGATCTGAATCAGCTCTGTACTGCCATCCCCCCCTGGGGCCGTGACAGACAGTGACCCAAACTCACCCCTGTGTCCACCCGCCCACCCGGAGAGCATTCAAGTTATTCTTCCGGGAACCCTGGAAATCCTGCTCTCCAATCTCGCCAGTCTTTGGCTAGGAAGAAACTTTAGAAGAACTCCAACCCAACACCCTGGAGTCAAGGAGGCAGGCACTCTGGGACTCTCTCAAAGAGGTTCGGAGGGGCCGGGGTCAAGGACTTGATTTTCCCCCAGTTGGACCTTGGGAAAGTATGGGACTCCTCAGCCACCCCCAACTGGGAATCAGAAATCTTTCCCCCTGCCTTGAGGCCAAATGTAGAAGCTGCTGCAAGCTGTGGTGAACAGGGGGAGAGCCTTTCTCAAACTGTGGGGTTGCCAAATGCCCCTTCCTTGGCTTCTGGCTTGATGTCTGGGCACGGACAGCTGCATGTGGCTGAGACTCACACCCCTGGTCTGCCCCCACCTCCTGCCCAGCCAAGGGGGAGCTGGCCTTGCGGCACCCTTCCCTTGGCATTGGGATGCGGGTGCCAGGTGGGTTAGGCCTCCTGGCTCACCCCCAGGACTCAGCCTCAGGGCAATGCTATCCCTTTCTAGAACCACTCCAGACCAGCACCCAGACCATGGCTCCCTCTCCAGGAGCCAGGGGCAGGGGAACAGGGAACGGGAGGTGGGGAAATGTACCAAGGGGAGGGGCCCTGGCACCTTCCCCACCTCCTGGGCACACACATCTGGGAGAGGGTGGCTGTGCTTCTTAGACCCAACAGAGCGGGACCCAGGGATGGGCCAGAGGGGAGCTAGGCCCTCTCTGTAGCCCCTCTACAGAGACATTACAACTGTTTTGTGGGGGGACAAGGGGATGAGCCCACAGGCCTGGGGGTGCCCATCTACTCTGGTGAGGGCACAGTTTGTGGAATCTGATAGAAAAAGGGTAGGGGTAACAGGGCAGGTCACATAGGAAGGGGCCCCTTTTCCAACTCAGATGGGTGTGGGACATCGGGGGTTCCTGTGGGGAGGGAAGGGGCTATATGGAGTGGGGAGGAGAGACAGGGGGCCTTGCGACAGAAGCAGGGGAGCGGTGACTGCAGGCTGCTGGGTGCAGGGGGGTGGAGCAGGCAGGGGGAGGAGGGAGGGCTTCCAGCACGAGGGGACTCAGCTCCCAGGGATGACTGGGGTGAGGTTTACTCGCCTGCAGAGGGGGAACAGGGCCCAGGGGTCCCTTCCTAGAGATACCACTGTGCATGAAGGACTTGGGTCCTGGCTAATGAGTGGGTGGGGGCTGGGGGTGGAAGGGGCAAGTCTTTGCCCCCAGTTTGCTGGTAGATGCTGAATGACTGGAGAGGAAGTTGGGGGGGGGGTCCCTGCCCAGAACCCACCTTGAGGGACACCTGAGATAAGCAGAGGAAATGAAAAGACCCTAAGGAAAGGAATGTGGTTGGCATGCGGTGTTGCTGGGCGCTGGGGTTGGTGTCTACGGCCAGTGAGTGTTGGGGTGGGGGTGGGGAATGCGAGAGGCTGGGATGCGGGAAGGAAGGCCGCCGAGTCTTCAGCCTCTGTGTGTGCGGTGTGGGGTAGGGGAGAAACGCCACTAACAGGGCGGGGGCCCCGGGACCCACACGTGTGGTGGTGGTGGCGGGGGTGGGATCGCAGGGTCTGGCGATTATCTGGAAGGAGGCTCAGGGTTCCCCACTCTGTAGGCGCGTCTATGGTGTACCGAGGGCAGCGCAAATACGAGGAGTCGCCGCGTGCAGGGGTCGGGGGTCCCCCAGACCAACGTGCGTGGTGGGGTGCCCGGTCTCGATCTGGAAGGGGCCGGGGCGTCCGGGTTGGGGGAGCTTGGCTGGCGGCAGGGGTCCCGGGGCGGCGCGAGATTCGGGGATCGGGGGGTTCGGGGCCCGAGGCCGGGTCGCGGGGAGGACTGGGGGCCGGGTCGCGCGGGCACTCACTGCTTGAACATCTTCTCCATGTCCTTGATCTGCTTCCTGGAGAACTCCTTGAACTCGGTGTAGGGGTTGAAGACACGGCGGCTGGGCGACTGGGGCTCGCCGATGCCCTGGTTGAGGTCGGCGCGCCGCAGCAGCTTGGCGCTCAGCTCGCAGTCCGCGCTGCCCAGAGCCTCGGCCGCTTCGTCCGGCGCCCCCGCCGCCCCCGCCGCCGCCGCCCCGTTAAGCCCGGGCTGCTCCGTGGCCTCGCCGCCGCCCTCGCCCTCCATCTGCAGCCGCCGGCTCAGCTTGGTGGCCAGCTCGTCCGTGGCCATGGTGGCCCGCGCGGCGCTCGCCTCGGCCCGGCCCCTGCTCGCAGTGCAGCGCCGCCGGCCGCGCTCTTCCTCTTCCTGACACTCCCCGGGCCAGGCGCCGCCCCCGAAGGTGGGACTTGGGCCCCGGCGGGGACCGTGCGCCCCGCCCCCATGCCGGGACCCGCGCGCCGTGCGCGTGATCGTTCCCTGCTGCCGGGTGTTGAGTGTGCCCTGCGCTCTCCGCCCGCCGCCGTGTGCCCCCCGCGAGGCCGGGGAGCGCGGCGGAAAGCCATAACCCCTCTTGGTACCCGCTGTGGCAGCTGAGCCGGAGGGGTCCCGCTGGGGGCCCGGGAGGGAAGGAAGAGGGCTCCTCCCCCGCGGCTTGGGTGGGGAGCGGGGCTCGGGGGGCACCGCCCCACCCCCTTCTCTGGAATCCCCACGCCGTGAAGTCATAATCCTGTGTCTGTGACACCCTGTCGGTTGCCATGGAGACGACTCGCTGTTAAACAGTGGCGTTCCCGATGAGGGCTGCAGGGGTTCCGAGGTGGACCTAGGCAGTAGAAACCCCTGTTTAGGGTGAACCGTGGCGGGCGCCGCTGGCCTCTTGGAAGAGGACAGACTAGCAGCTGCGAAGGAGATGGGGCTGGGCTGCACCCCTGCAAGGGCCCCGGAGACAGGGGATGAGGGACAGGGGAAGGGGCTGGTGGTCCTCTCTCCTGAGGCCCCGCACCGTCACATGGATGACTTGGCAGAATAGCTGCTGGGCCAGTGTTGTCGCCTGTGGCTCTACTTTAGGGAAACTGACTAGGAAATCATGATGTCGCCATTTCGATGGGGTCCCCAGAAGAGAGATGTCCTTCCCAAAAGTTCCTGGACAGGGCTGGGGAAAGAGTTCAGATAATCAGTATCTTGGTGTTCTGGGCTGTTCCCTTACAACTGCACAACTCTGGACCTCCAGCATCAGAACCACTGGGGCCTAGGTTAGTAATACAGATTCCCAGGCTCCAATTTGGACAGACGAAACTGATCTCTGGGGTGGGATCCAGGAATCTGCATGTAAACAAGCACCCAGGGGAGTTGTCACTGAAATCTGAGAGTCACTGATTTAGAAGGAGGACTGTGCTGTGTGCTTGTTCTCTGAAATGTTAGGTCAATCAGGACCCCTCTACTGAAACTGCTCCAACCAGCCAAAGTGCAGAGAAAAGATGCGTCCAGGGCCCCAAAGCCAGTGTGCTCTGGAGGCAGGGAGCCCGCGGGAATGTAAAGCCAGCAAGCTGTTACCGAGCGATTTGCACAGAACAGACACTCACTTGATACTTGTCAATTTGCTGTGTTTCAGAACATTGCCGAATTAATCTTTTAAAATTATATTTTGCTGCTGAACTAATTTAAGAGGTATTTTTAAAAGAACGAAATTGAGGGAAAAACCTTCAAGGTTCAGAAAATGGAAAGTTCTCATTTACTTGTTTATGAAATTGTTTTTGAGTCCAATAAAGATGCTCAACTTAAATGATTTTTTTTAAAGCTCAGAATTAAGTTTCTCTTAGTTTGGGGCAGTTTGGTCCAGCTACTTGCAAAAGACAGGCTTCCATATCTCTCATATGCAGCCTTGAAGGTCCCAACAGAAGTAAAACAGTTATTTAAGGAATGTAAAGTACTAAGGACAGGATGTAAATTAAAATGTTTAAAATGATGTCTGCAGATGATGTTTGTAGATGCTTAAGTTTGTCGAACTTTTAGTCTTCCTCACAAAGCAGCTAATTACTTTCAAGACTCTGCGAGATTTATTTTACTCCAGCTTATGATTTCCAATGGTTCTGCTTGAGGCTGGGCTGCTGTTTTATGAAACGGTTTGCATCTGCTTGACGTGGGAGCAAACTTCACAGTGAGGCGATAATGTGAGGGTTTTGCTTTCTTGCAAAACAACTTACATATATGTCGAAAACTTGGGGTTTGGGTTTGAATTATGTGGACTGCGTGTGCGTAGTAAGCTCTCCGGTCAGTTACCCATTTGGCTTGTGTGGACATAGCCCTTGGGAGGGAGGGAGGGCGCACTCCGGGACACACAGGTTGGAGAATTCCTGTTTATTACCTATAGCATCTTGCAGAAGGGCTGCTGAACGCTGGAGGCTTGCAACTGCTAAACTCAGAACTCAGGAAATGCTGCCCGGATGGGTGAGTCCTTTTAACACCTCTTGGGTTGATTTTTCTCACAGGTTTTTGGTGTTTGCAAAGCTCTGAGACTGTGACCTCAAGCTGCTCAGTACTTTGGCCCCATTTCAGAGGCTTTAGGCCTGGGCCAGAGATGGATGCTGCAGGGGCTGTTTTATTCTAAGTTTTTTTCTTCATTGGTCATTTCATTGGTCATTGGGCTTTAAGAAAAGCACTTCTTCAGGATCAAAGAAGCAGTGATGGAAGGAAAAGCAGAGAAACCCAATGAGCCCCGACTGGTGGTGAAACTTCCAGGAAATATCACTTGCCTCTTGATTAGGGGAAATCACTTTTAAATGACCCTGAGTCCTGTGCCCCAAGCATAGATTCTGGCAGAAAGAAACGAGCTGGACTGATGACACACTATGGCATCTGGTCATGGGGAAAGAATGATCTTCAGGAAAAATCACACCCTTGGCAAAGGCTTTTTACAGAGGCAAGGGCGAGCCGGCCAATTCTGACAATGCTCCAGTGTAGCAAGGGAGCCAGGCACTTAGTCATCATTACTTATGTGTCTTCTCTTCCTCCCACGTCTCCTTGTATAACTGTCTTTTGGGGAGGGGTGAAGTGATATTAAGAAAATCAACAGCGCTTTGAAAAAGGGGCAGGGGGAAAAAACAAGAAGGGGAGAAAGAGTTGGGAAGAGCTCTTGGGTGATGGGGAGATGGCATGGGGATATTCTGGAGCCTGACGGAACTGTGTGGTCCCACCAGCCGGAGATGCTGGGAAGACAGGAAGGAATTCGGGAGGTGGCAGAGATGAAGTTGGCTCACAAAATGCAGGGCTCCCTGAGCACTTTACAAATACCAGCTTGCAAATTAATCATGATGAATACTCCCCGGTCATCAGGAAACCCTTGATGGATGGAGGACAATGCACAGAGATCAAAGTTCAGGGGCAGCACCAATATTCATTTGGGGCAGTTGGAGTGAGAGCAGCACGGGGTGACAGCCTGGTTGGCCTCATAGGCTTTCTCATCTTTTGCAAGATCTGGAAACCATGCAAAGGGTGTAATGGGGAGAGGCGCTGACATCAGGCATTATGCGACCACTGAATGGGGGCAAAGAGGCAGGAGGAGAAGTGAGTGATGACGGGTCAACAGCTGCAGGTAGACCCATTTGCAGGTTATCAGAAACTAACTTAACTATTCAGCTCTCTTTTTGTGGTTACCTTGAACGCTGTGAATCTACTTGAAAACCAGGATGATCCTTCGAGTGAGCTGCAGATGTCCAACTGGGCATGTTTTCTGCTTCGAAGTCACAGGTAATTCGGTGTACAAGTTTAACGCCCTGATAGGCCCTAGCCTTAGCTCCGTTTTAAATTCCCAGAGTGTTTTTGTGTCTGTGTGCATGTGGGGGGAACACCTGAAAACCCAGCAATGCTGCTTCCACAGCGATCTCCTGGGCCCCTTCCAAAGATGGTCATATTATGGGCAGCTGGTTTTGATTTTTACATTTGCAACAGCTACTTGGAGGATTGCCAGCAACAGGCAGGCAATCAGGACATATTTATTAAGTGTACTGGGCACCGGGCACTGGTCCTGGAATTCTCCTGGTTGTAAGCAAGTGAGGGGACAGGGAGGTGAGAGCTAGAATAGCCATTTTGAAGTGTGAGATTTATTGGACCCCATACTGGGCAACTGACTGAGAGAGGCTACCAGTCTTCCAGCTAAACTCGCCTCTGGTCAAGAATCAGCAATTGCTTTCCATAGCAAAGTGTTAATACAATATCTGTTACTCCCAACACAACCTCCTGTGGGAAGGGACCATCTGTCTGCTTTAACCTTGGATCCTCAGCGTCCACATCAGGGTACCTGGCCTGAGGTGAGTGCTGTAGAAATAGTTGTTGAAAGAATGCATGAAGACCTGCTCTGCCTAAGGGCTGGGGACAGATTGGGAGTCTTCTGTGTCCCCTCCAGAGCATCTGGTGGCCCATTTTTAGGTCTCAAGGTCACTGCCAAGAAAGAGAAGCTGCTAAAGTGACACCTCTGTGCACCCACATGACTTAACACAAAAGTTAACACGAGCTCTTCAAAAACAAACCTCTCAAGTGTCTCCTGCCTTCCCTGAGGACAGCATTGGTGGCATCAGATAGGGGTTGGGGCTGGGTGACCTGCTGGTCCTTGGCCATCACTGTGGCCCAGAGGTCATTTAAGTAGCTCTCTGCTCAGCACACAGGCAGAGGGAATAGATGGAAGGTAGAGGTAAACACTGCATGTGGCCATGGTGAAGGCACTCCAGAGCCTGGGAAACTGAAAGGGACATCATAAAACCAACACATAATGGACCATTGCAGAGACAGGCAAAACCAGTCAGAAGAAATAGCATGGTGCCCAGGCCAGGGACACCTGACCTAAGGTATTTTGTTTTTTTGAGACAGGAGTCGCTCTCTGTCACTCAGGCTGGAGTGCAATGGTGTGATCACAGCTCACTGCAGTCTCAACCTCCCAGGCTCAAGCGATCCTCCCACCTCAGCCTCCTTAGTAGTAGCTGGGACTACAGGTGTGCACCACCACCCCCGGTTAGTTTTTGTATTTTTTCGTAGAGATGAGGTTTTACCATGTTGCCCAGGCTGGTATTGAACTCCTGGACTCAAGAGATCTATCCGCCTTGGCCTCCCAAATTGTTGGGATTATAGGCGTGAGCCACCACACCTGGATGACCTAGGGTATTAACTAAAGAAAGCAGGTGATTCTTAGGGGGGCTATGAAGCCAGCATGCCTAGAGGAAGGGAATGCACCATGAAGGCATTGTCTCCTGAGGCTTGGTCCAGGAGAGGCAGGTCTCTTAGACCCAGTGACAGTGCTCCTAGTGTGCAGATGCACCTCTCTGATGACAAAAGGCAGTGTGGTTGTGATATTTTACATATATAGTTTTTGTTATTGTTGTTTTTGGGACTGGGTCTCACTCTGTCACCCAGGCTGGAGTGCAGTGTTAAGAACACGACTCACTGCAGCCTCAAACTCCCAGTTTCAAGTGATCCTTCCACTTCAGCTTCTTGAGTAGCTGTAACTACAGGCATGCACCACCTGGCTAATTTTTCAAAGTTTTTGTAGAGACCGAGTCTTGCTACGTTGCCCAGGCTGGTCTCAAACTCCTGGGCGTAGGCAATCCTCCTGCCTCGGCCTCCCTCAGTGCTGGGGTTATAGGTGTGAGCCACTGCACCAAGCCTATATTTGTTTTTTTGTCCACAGTTCCTGGCCTGTAACTCCCATGGCTCTTGTTATAGTGAACACGATCTCCCTCTCTGACGTCCTTCTACCCCCCTTCACCTGCTCACAGCAGGACTCTAATCTGATTCTGGATCTAATCTCATTCCAGAGAGGGCTCTGCCGAATACCCTAGAGGAAGGAATGCTGCACAGAGAGGCCGAGAAGAATCTGGACAGACAGACCTTGGTGGATTTAGATCTCTTTTTGTCCAATCCCATTTTGACACAGTTGTCCATGCTTCACTCATGCTTATCCAATGAAGTTTCCATAACAGGCCTGAGAGGACAGGGTTCAGGAGCTTCCAGAGAGCTAAGCAGGTGGAGGTTCCTCAGGGGGGTGTTTCAGGGAGGGAGTGGAAACTCTGCCCCTTCCCCCATATCTTGCCCTATGCATTTCCTTCATCTGTATCCTTTATTTTTCTGAGACAGAGTCTCGCTCTTGTCGCCCAGGCTAGAGTGCAATGGTATGATCTTGACCCACTGCAACCCCCACCTCCAGGGTTCAAGTGATTCTCCTGCCTCAGCCTCCCAAGTAGCTGGGATTACAGGCACCTGCCACCACACCCGGCTAACTTTTGTATTTTTAGTAGAGACGGGGTTTCACCATGTTGGCCAAAGTAGTCTCAAACTCCTGACCTCAGGTGATCCGCCCACCTCAGCCTCCCAAAGTGCTGGGGTTACAGGCATGAGCCACTATGCCTGACCGTATCCTTTATATCTTTTATAAACAGTCAATCAGTAAATGTGTTTCTCTGACTTCTGTGAGATGCTCTAGCAGACTAATCAGATCCACCGAGGGGTCATGGGAACCCCAACCAGAAGCCTGTGGGTCAGAATTTCTGGAGTCCTGGACTTGTGTCTGGTGTCTGAAGTGGGCAAGTCTTCAGGACTGAGCCCTCAACCTGTGGGATCTGATGCTGTCTCCAGGTAGAGAGCAATGGCATTGAATTGGCGGACACCCGGCTGGGGTCTGCTGCAGAGCTGATTGCTTGCTTGGTGGTGGAGAGAAATCTCCCTCCACGTGTGGTCACAGCATCTTCTGTCTGTGTTGATTGCTTTTGGTGCTGATTGAGAGAACGGGAAAAAGCACATCGAATGGTCTTTTTTCCCCATATTCAAAGTGGTGTAATGGTTAGGAGGTGGGTTTGGAAATCCCAGTGGGGTGACCGCGGCCACGTTACCTTTCTGGCCTCAGTTGCATTGTCTATAAAATGGGATCCTCTCAAGCACTCCTATCTCCTCCTGGAATGCTTGAGAGGATTAAATGAGAAAATTTACGGAAAGTGTTTACTGCAGTGCATGGCACGTAGTAAGAGCTCAAAATGGTCCCAATGATGAAGATGACAATAATCTGGCTTCTAGGTAGTCACGTGGCAGGCAACAGCTATGCAGATCCTCATAATCTACTTGGGGTGACAGTTTAACACAGGGGTTGGCAATTCTAGCCCACTTCCTATTTTTATAAATAAAGCTTTATTGAAATGCAGCCATGCTCATTCATTTTGGATCACGCTGCACTGGCAGAGTTGAGTGGTGGTGATAGACACCTGTGGTCAATAGAACATAACGGCCCTTTATAGAAGAAAGGGTATACTATTTGGCCCTTTACAGAAAAGGTTTGTCATCCTGTCCTCGTTCATTAGTAGACAACCAGCTGGTTCCTGGACTTCACCGAGGAAAGTGCTATATTAGGCAGTTGTGGGTATAAAGTCTGGGCTCCAACATTTGCTCTGTGACCTTGGGCAAGTTACTTACCTACTCTGGGCTCATCATTTTCACAGAGGAAACAGGAGTGATGACAGTGGGGATGAAGTGGGATACTGTCTGGACCATGCTTTGCATAGTGCCTGATGGCTAGGAAGGACTCTATACGAAGTAGTTACTATGATTAGCTATTATATTTCAACTGACAAAAGGTACAAAGAAACTCCCAGGAAGAGGGTCATTGCTGCATGCTGCTCTCTTTAAAGAACGCCCAGCAGTAATCCCATACAGAGCCAACGAGATATGTGGACATCAAAAGGGAGTGCTCCTATGTAACATACCCAGTAAATTAATGATTCCACTCCCTTTTCATTTAAAGCAGTGGATCAGAATTTGAAAAGGAGTAAAGGTCAAGGCCATGAGGTCTGACTAACATGATAGCATCAGTGCCTGGCCCATAGTAGGCCCCGGTATCTACTGGCTGAATGGATGGAGCTGGTTGTTTAACTGTAAAACTATCCTCTCTGATGATAAGACCACAGTTACCCAGAAGATAAAGTTTCTGCCTCCAATATTTTTGGGTCTTAGAAAGGAAAACAGTGTGCTAAAGATGACAGGAAACTCAAAACAAGGACCTGCTAATGCTTCTCCCAACTGGATGGAGGCACCGTGATGGATTCCTGGGCAACAGATGGGCAAAGAAAAATGTTTAAAAACAAAAGCTGGGACATAAGGTCATGAATTGGCCCAAAATAACCTGTGACACTGAGCAGACGGATGCAAGCAGTGCACCTGATGGAAATGAGGCCAAGCTGATGAGCTGAAATAGCCTACCCTCACTGGTGCCCTGCGTCCTGCTTCAGGACGCCTCAGCATGGGAAAGAGGCGCGCATTAGCATTATCTGGTTTAGGTTTTCTCACATCCTTAGTGGACTGCTTTCATTCCTAAGTCCCTAAAAAGTTGGAGACCACTCCACTTACCAGGAGCACGCTTTGGAATGCAGATCTGGAAGCTATTTTTTCCCTCCAGACATTTCATGACTCTGGTTTCTACAACAGCAGGCGATGGTGACGTTGCCAAGTTTCAAGAGAAGGGCACCTTATCTGCAAAGTCACGAATCCAAGGATCCAAACGGGCTCCCACTGCCAAGGGCGGAAGGAAGTTGTTTGTCTTAGCTTCTTGAAAGATCAGAAGATTGGGAGGTTTGGGGTATACGGGTACCTCGTTGCACCGTGGTGTACCCCCCAGGGGAAAGACTGCGGTAGCTTCTCAGAATCTGTAGTGGGTGGGGCTGTGTAGCAGAGCGTCTTAGTAAATGCCCATTTGGTTGCAAATGAACAGAAACTCAAACCAGCTGAAGTAAACAGGGGGCATCTATGGGGAAGAAAAGCCAGTTCAACCTCCAAGTCTGACTCTTCAGCTTTGCTTAGCCACTGATTTTCTAATCTTCCTCATTTCCTTCCAATAAACTCTTTCTATTTAAGTTAGCCACAGAAAGTATCTGTTGTTTACAGCCAAGGGATCTTGAGTGATACAAAGGGTCCTAGTGGAACCCAAGGGCAGGCATTGGAACTGGCCTTCCCAAGAAAGGAAACTGGGAATCAGAAAGTCATTGGGAATCAAGGTAACTTTCTCTGAGGTCAGCTGAGAATGTATTTAGCTTCAAATGGCAGATAACCCCATGTGAGTAGACTGTAAAAATTTGGAGCCCCTCCCATACTTACTCTGGCTTTATCTGATGGGATATTAACAAACACAAGGCAAGCAGAGACTTGAAAAGTGCTTGTGCACTGGGGCCCATTCTCACCTGCTGCTCTTGGGAACCGTGGCCACCACATGTGAACGGGCCTAGTCCAGCTGGCTGAAGGATGAGTGGGCGTGCTGGGCAGAGACAAAGGGTTGTAGTAGAAGGCCTCTCGAGACCGGGTTTCTCAACCTCAGTGCTATTGACATTTTAGATCAAATAATTATTTGCTGTGGGGAGTTCTTTTGTCTATTGTAGATCATGTTTTTAGCAGCACCTTTGGCCTCTACCTAGTAGATGGGCACCTGCCCCTCCCTCATTGTGACAACCAAAATTATGTCCAGACACAGCCAAAGTTCTCTCGGGAGACAAAATTCTCCTTGTTGAGAACTACTGTCCTAACCCAACTCGCCTGCCAAGGCCAAGTGCATGAAAGAGGCCATTCTAAACCACCCAGCCCCAGCCAAGACAGTCCTGACAGGAGTGTGTAGCTTGACCTGTGGAATCAAAAGAAATAATAAATATCTGTCTTTTTCTTTGAGATGGAGTTTCACTCTTATCATTCAGACTGAAGTGTAGTGGTGCGATCTCAGCTCACTACAACCTCTGTCTCCCAGGTTCAAGCGATTCTTCTGCCTCAGCCTCCTGAGTAGCTGAGACTACAGGTGTGCACCACCATGCCCAGCTAACTTTTGTATTTTTAGTAGAAACGGGGTTTCACCATGTTGACCAGGATGGTCTTGATCTCTTGACCTCGTGATCTGCCCACCTCGGCCTCCCAAAGTGCTGGGATTACAAATATATACACTTGACTACAGGGGCTTAAATACATTGGGATTTATTTGTCTTATACAACAGGAAGTACAGAGGTTGGCAGTTCATTCATGATTCAGAGCTCAGCGATGCCACTGGGTGCCCACCCGGGCCTTCTTGTCCCTCCATTCCACTATCTTTTGGCCTGCTGCTGGTGTCTGCTGATCCCCGAGGCAGCTGCTCCAGCTTCCAGTCAGAGCTCCAGGGGTGAGAAAGGAGACAAGACAAAGGGACCAAGGGTGAATGCTTTCTTCTAGAGAAGCTGGAAGGGAAGTCCTCCACAGGGGCTTTTCCTTACATGCCATTGGCCAGATTGGTACAAATGGCCCGCCCTAGCTGCAAGGGAGGCAGGAAAATCACGGTGATTAGCTTTGAGCCTATATGGTAGAGGGAAATGACGGCTGAGCAATGACTAAGTAGATTTAGTATCTGCTGAGGAGCTGTGGTGTTTGCTGCACTGTCTCTCTGGAGTTCTGTGGGTTTTTGTCTCTCCTTGTTGCATATGTACTCCAGCCTCCTTTTTTTTTCCTGAAGACTGGCTTTTTTTTCATGAACACGAGGGGGAAAATGGCGGCTGTAGCCCTGGAACTGCATGAAGACTCTCAGCTCTATATTTGGGGATATGGTACAGTCTAATACTTTCATGTATTACGTTCTTGAACATTTCTGAGATTTTCTAGAGTATCTGTAAAGTCAAGTTATGCTCCCCTTTCTTACTGACTTTATTTATTTTTGAGACAAGGTCTTGCTCTGTTACCCAGGCTGGAATGCAGTGGCAGAATCATGGCTCACTGTAGCCTCAACCTCCTGGGCTCAAGTGATCCTCCCAGCACAGCCTCCCAAATAGCTGTGACTACTGGCACACACTACCACATCAGCTAATTTTTAAGTTTCTTGTAGAGATAGGTTCTCACTATGTTGCCCAGGCTGAAATGGAATTCCTAGGCTCAAGCAGTTCTCCCACCTCCGCCTTTCAAAGTGTTGGGATTACAGGTGTGAACCACCATGCCTGGCCTCTCACTGGCTTTAGACCCTAACCGCATGGAAGATGTGCCTCCTATACAATATCGCACCAAGAATTTGCCCTATTTCCCCCAGGTTCAATCCGTTTAAAAAATACGTTTTTTAAAAATTATTGTGGCTTTTTAAAAATAAAAACAGTAGGCTGAGTGTGGTAGCTCATGCCTGTAATCCCATCACTTTGGGAGGCCGAGGTGAGCAGATCACCTGAGGTCAAGAGTTTGAGACCAGTCTGGCCCACATAATGACACCCTGTCTATACTAAAAATACAAAAAATTAGCCAGGCATGGTGGTGGGGGCCTATAATCCCGGCTACTTGGGAGGCTGAGGCTGGAGAATTGCTTGAACCTGGGAGGAGGTGGAGGTTGCACTCCACCTGAGCGGAGATGGTGCCCTTGCACTCCAGCCTGTGTGACAAGAGTGAAACTCCGACTCAAAAAAAAAATATTAATGACTTCTGGCTCTTCCAATTTTTTTTTTTTTCTGCCTGGCCACACAGGAATGGCAGTGAGGGGATGGATGGATGGAGAGAAGGCAGAGCTTGGAAGCAGCAAAGAGTACAGCAAAGGAGAATGGGGGTCTCTCCAGACACTGTGGAAAAGGCCCTTGTGAGCTGGGCAGCGTGTGCTCTTTGGTGACTGGGGACTTGGTCTGTCCTTGTGGCCTGGACGGTAACAACTAGGCTATGTGGTGTATTGGAATGGACAGTGTGAGATGGAATTAGAAACCTGGGTTCAAGACCGAACTCTTGAGTTTACTGGCTGTGTGATTTTAGGCAGGCCATGTAAGTTCTCAGGGCCTCAGCTTCCTCATCTGTCAAATGGGGAACATAATACTATTCACCTCCTAGAGCTGGGGAGGATTAAATGAGATGTGTTTTGAAAATTGTCGAGTGCTATATAGATGTTAGTCATTATTATGGAAACAATAAAACGGATTGGTGTTCTAAATTTATTATAATAAACTGAGATTTTTTTTTTTTGAGATTGAATCTTGCTCTGTCACTCAGGCTAGAGTGCAGGTGTGTGATCTCAGCTCACTGCAACCTCCTGGGTGGAAGTGATTCTCCTGCCCCAGCCTTCCAAGTAGCTAGGATTACAGGTCTGGCAAATTTTTGTATTTTTAAAATATATATCTATATATTTTTATTGCATTTAGGTTCCAGTGTACATGTAAAGAACATGCAGGATTGTTAGGCACATACATGGCAATGTGGTTTGCAAAAATGGAACGCTCCACGAATTTGTGTGTCATCCTTGCGCAGGGGCCACGCTAATCTTCCCTGTATCGTTCCAATTTTAGTATATGTGCTGCCGAAGCAAGCACAATTTTTGTATTTTTAGTAGAGACGGGGTTTCACCATGTTGGCCAGGCTGGTCTCAAACTCCCGAACTCAAGTGATCCACTCGCTTTGGCTTCAAGTTTCACTGGTCTCGAACTCCTGACCTTGTGATCCACTCACCTCAGCCTCCCAAATTACTGGGGTTATAGGTGTGAGCCATCATGCCAGGCCATAACTGAGATTGAAACTCACCGTCTCAAGGCCCTGATAGCTCCAGAGTTACAATTCTGCCTGAGGCTCCAGTGTTAAGTTTCATGTTTTCTCAAGTGTGAGTCTGTTGGAACTCTTAGGAGGTTTGATATTTGGGTACATCATGACCCAATGTGGAACCACATAATTATATCTATGAGGCCTGGACATCTGGGCTACAAACTTCTGTTCTTCATATACCTGAGTTTCTGTACACTCATAGGTGGTTTTTTTTTTTTGAGACAGAGTTTCGCTCTTGTTACCCAGGCTGGAGTGCAATGGCGCAATCTCGGCTCACCGCAACCTCCGCCTCCTGGGTTCAGGCAATTCTCCCGCCTCAGCCTCCTGAGTAGCTGGGATTACAGGCACGCGCCACCATGCCTAGCTAATTTTTTGATTTTTAGTAGAGACGGGGTTTCACCATGTTGACCAGAATGGTCTCGATCTCTTGACCTCGTGATCCACCCGCCTCGGCCTCCCAAAGTGCTGGGATTACAGTCTTGAGCCACCGCACCGGCCGTGTTTTTTTTTTTTTTGAGACGGAGCCTTGCTCTGTCGCCAGGCACCAGGCTGGAGTACTGTGGTGCGATCTCGGCTCACTGCAATCTCCACCTCCCGGGTTCAAACAATTTTCCTGCCTCAGCCTCTTGAGTAGCTAGGACTACAGGCACGTGCCACCACGCCCAGCTAATTTTTGTGTTTTTTAGTAGAGACAGGGTTTCACCATGTTGGCCAGGATGGTTTCGATCTCTTGACCTCATGATCCACCTGCCTTGGCCTCCCAAAGTGCTGGGATTACAGGTGTAAGCCATGGCGCCCGGCCAATAGGCGTTTTTTAAAAAGAACCCTTCTTCCCACACTCTCCAAAATATAATATTGTTCAAAATACCAGTCTAGAAAGCGAAACACCAGGGTAACAATCTTTGAAGTCCTACAAAAGCAACTCAGTATTTTGACACAGTCTACACGGAAGAGTCACATAACTCACAGAGGATCACACAAGGCCTGGTGGGATGAGATTTCTCTAGTACCTTCCACCAGGCTTCGAATGCAAAAGGCTTTGGCTGGACTTGTTGGAGGTCTCTTTTCTCAGCATCTCTCTTTCTTGGTCCATCTTTAGGGTGGCTTTTCTGGTTCCAACCTTTGACAAGCAAGAGAAAAAACCACACAAACTCCATTGCAGTGAGACTCCAATTGTTCCACTCACGTGGTTTTCTTATTTTTTATTTATTTATTTATTTTTAACATGAGGAGGACTAGACACTTCCCATGTATTTTATTGTATTTATTGATTTACTTTTTTCAAAAAATTGAGACAGAATCTTGTCCTGTCGCCCAGGCTGGAGTGCAGTGGTGCGATCTCGGTTGACTGCAACCTCTGCCTCCTGGTTCAAGTGATTCTCCTGCCTCAGCCTCCCAAGCAGCTGGGACTACAGGAACGTGCCACCATACCCAACTAATTTTTGTATTTTTAGTAGAGATGGGGGTTTCACCATGTTGGCCAGGCTGGTTTCAAACTCTTGACCTCAAGTGATCTTCTCACCTCATCCTCCCAAAGTGCTGGATTTACACTTAAGGCATTACAGGCGTGAGCCACCACATCTGGCCGGTTTTGTTATTTTTTTAAGAGATAAAATGATTCATCATTATCATATTACTCAAAGATGAACCTTAGAAAGGTTTTGGGGTGGCCGCTCCAGATACACAGATATTGCTTTCTCTTTCTCTATTCTCTTTTTCTTTTCTTGATGCGTGGTCTCCCTCCACCGCCCAGGCTGGTGTGCAGGGGAGTGATCCCGGCTCACTGCAGCCTTGACCTCCTCAGG